AGAAAGACAAGAGGAGTCATGAGATGATATTAGAATACTTTACTAGAAAGGTTCCCTAAGTGCAAGGTAGCAGATGAAGTGAGTGTGTATGGTTCAAATAATCTAAAAGGAACATTCAACATTTGGCTTAGAATATTCTTCTGGTTATTTTCCGATGACTTTACCCTCTCAAAACTTCGACCATTAGATTCCTAAAATGGTTCTCTCAACATGTGTGAGAGAAAAATGTTTGTTCCCATCTGTTATTTGATAGAAGCAAGGTCTATCACAACAACCGGCAAACAGAAACAGTGGTGACATTGATGTGTTACAAAACTACTGCGTTCTAATTACCCCTTACAGGATTTACAGTGTTTTATAGCATGGTCAAGTTACTGTCACTGTCATCTTAAGTGATCAAGGCAGGAAGGAAAACATCAGTCAAAGGTAACCAAGCTCCCTTACCCCTCTAAATATCAACACAAGCTACATGAATATTGCAACATCATGTTCCATTAATAAAGCACCGGATACCCATCCCTGACAGGTGACATAGATCCAATCCCACTTGTAGCAGTGTGGTCAAGCAGAAAAAATGGCAAGTAATACCTTGTCCGTTGTCTTATCTTACCAACTTATTGCACCTGTTTGAATCCTTAACATTAATCCACATACATTTCCATCAGCATGAGTATACATTTATATACCTAGAACTGTAGATCCCTTGTGGAAGCTGTGATTTACTCTACACTACCACGAGTAAGTACACTTTTTGTCCTATTTTGGTTGTGTTCTCTCCAAGTATGTTTAATTATTCACAGGGCTGCTAAGGGGGATAGGCATAGTAGACCCCTCATAAATAAAGCAGCATTTGACAAATAAGCTTGACATCGTTGAAGTGAACCCATTGCCTCGCTATGTAAGACTATAGCCTTCTCCGACTACTGACAAATTGGGTACAAGCTGAAACAGACTTATGGTATGTCTTTACAAGATTGTGCAAACATTCCCTTTAAAACTATTTATTTTTAACTATTGATTTACAAAACTTAAATTGTGCAAGTCTATGATCAAGGCGTTTTGTGTTTAAAATTCCCACAGCAATAACTGGTAAAACAAGTTCCTGTTAGCCCGAGGCTTCAAATGCTAACCGCATAATTAGGCTAAAGATGTAGCTGAATAAAAGGAGCATTATACTTTGTAACTGGAGCTTTACATTTCCTAATAGTACATGCGTTTAAACAGGAATGAAACAGTGTCTCGTAACAACACACTGCACTTTCCTACCACTCAGGTCTAGACGTATATATACACAGTAACACATTACGGCTTTAACCTTCTCCCTGAGGGTTCACAGCCTTACTTGCTTTCCCACACGCATTACTTTTATTAATGCATGGCGAGAGCACAGCTTTGGAGCTGGAATATGACGCAGGTGTCTGATGGCTGCCATTTGCTGGGTGGGCTCATTCCAGGGCAGCACAGCAGAAGCTTAGGGGGTGAGAAACCGTACACCTCTGTAGGGCGAGCAGGGGCAAAACAACACAGCAGCACTACTGGTGATGCTCATCATCTGTGACCCTGCCACAGACCCTGCCAAGTACATCGTTTTAATCTCCGCCTGGGATCAGCAGAGCAGCAGGAAGCTCAAGTCCACAGCGGACTCGCAACTGAGATTAGTGATACCTTCGAGAAGGATGTCTGTGAGTGTGCATTAAGAGGATAGATGAATAAAGAATACAAAAATGAAACGTGCAAATGGATAAAAGACAGATCTGACGCCCTGAGTGTCAGTGGGGATGGTTAGATGTCCTTCACTGCTCAATTCAACATAACCATAATGATACGTTGCAATAATGCCCCAAACCAAACCAGAAATGGCGCTGTTCTACTCCACTTGTTCTTTTTGGTTTTCCATTAGGGAAAGTGCTTAGTACTTTTTAGTACTTTTTAGTACCAAGGCAATTCCAAATGGTGACGTTAAAAACAGCTTGATCAGGGAAAATCTTCCCTAGCCCGTAGCAGGAAATCCTTCACAAACCCATCCATTTTAGGATGCAAACAACTGTTTTTAATCGAAAACATTTACTTATTTTTTTGACTTCATCAAGATAGCGCAACTGTGCCTTTAGGTGCAGAGGTTCCTCTGTTTCTTTCAAGTGGTGCTGCTGCGCTGGGATCAACAGAAACACAGCTCCAGGTGTTTTGATCAGAGTGGTTCCAGACTTTATAACTGGATAAAGCTACTACAACAACATACATGTATACATATTTCATATAATGCTAAGTTTAGCAATGGCTGGTGGTAAAGTAGGTGCATTGTGTCAGGAAGCAGTGTTCAGAGATCTTTGAACTGACAAACCACTCAAGCAGAGGCACTATTAAGGGAGGCCAAAACTAACTCACAACCTATATTTGAAATGTTCTGGCTCCTCTACACTTGCTTTATCAAGGTGCCCGAATGACTACTTTCATGCAGAAAAATAAACTTGAAAATGCTGTATTTCAGGCAAGAGCCATTGCTTAAAATAAAGATGTATTTAGCCCCTGCATGTGTGAAATGTAATGTACATTGAAGTTGGAAAAGACAACATTTCTATCAGACAAAGGCAATGTTCTGTCCTGAGTGAGCTGATCGTGATCTAAACTAATGCTCGGATTAAGGGTTTTAAACCACTATATCCTATCCACCCTTAAGCCCCAAGAAAATATAGCCTTGCTGCTGACAAGCAGTTATGGAAGCCAACTTTGGGCTTTGTCCCTCTCCAACAGCGCAATGGGCTGCTGACAGGTTTCTCATCAACACAAGCTGTACTGTTGTAATGACAGGAAGCGTTTGTCTCAATCAGCAGGTTGCTCGGATGAATTCTTAGTGTTGCGCGCTAGCATTCTCAGTTCCCAGACCTCCCTCCCCCTACTCGGTGACCCTCCACGCCAGGAACAAAACCCTGGGAATGTGAGCTATGCAGAACTGCAGCTTGGAGACACCTGTTCAGACAACCAACACAGAACGTAGCCTCGTACTCTGGCTTTTCGTCTGAGCCGCTGCATCCGACCCCACCCTGACCTCGGCTGCCTTGGCTCCACATACACACTCCAGCATTGTGAGCACAAAAATGGAGAAACATGCATCTATTTTCATGTCACATACACAGGCCTGCCAAGACTTTCTCAATGTGGTGAAAGTTGACAGTTATATATATCACTTCTGTGTTTGTGTATTTGCTGTGTAGAAAAGGGCAAAAGTAAGCCATAAGACACCTGTCATGATGCTTAACTGTTGACTTTACTAACAGTAAAAGCGATGAACTGGACTGAAGTGCTAATATACAAAGTCTCCAGGGAGAGTCCCCCTGCACAGCTGGAATACAGACTAAAGGCCCCCCAATTTTTTTACTAGACACGATTTAAAAAGAAGAACTAGGCTACTCCCAGTGAGAGCAGAGGAGCTTGCCAAAACTGCAGACAAGCCATTGAGGCTTCGGAGTTTACACAGAGAAATGTCAGCTCTCCAGAGAGTACCCTCAGGGGCATTCAAATACAAGCCAAGGAAAGCCGTTGTCCATGTCCTCCTCTTTTTCTCGCAGCCAGAGCACCATGACAGTGGAGGAAAGACAACAAGTGACTGGTTAGAAAGAATGGGACATGAGGCAGAGATTATATCTGGCAAGCAGTGAGGTACACACACTATTAGACAAGGTTTAAATGGAATGTTTTGGAAGCAATATGCAATGGATGCAACTCTGCAGTTTTTGGTTTATTCATTCAAGCTGTAAAAATGCTTTTCTAAGCGTAGATACAAAACATATTTCCCAGCGCCTACAAAACCAAGTATGGCAATTTTTGGAAACTCTGGCGAAAAAAACAAATGACTCAATGCACAAAAAATGGCATTACTATTTTCAAGAGAGGGCTGGCCAATATGAAGAAATTCAAGTATCACAGTATTTGTGGCATTAATATCAGTGTGCTAACAAACGTTTTTTGTTGACCATTGAGGCTTTTACCAAATATTTACATGTTATGGATATAATATTGATATATTGCTAGTTTAATTAGACATGTTTATGTTAAATTAAATATACACTAGTGTCTTACAAAATTTGACAAGATCTCATTTATATCATGGCGTAGCCTCAAGCAATTATGGTTATGATGAGATAATGGTGTCAGACCAAAACACATGGTGTCCCCTATCATTACAATACACATTTAAATAAACTAATGGCTGGATATGATGGAAGCTGGCCAAGTGCTGAGTCTCTCGGTGGGCTGCCAGCACAGGGGCTCGGCGCTGTCAGCCAGTGACAAGCTCCGTGTCAACACACTTGAATTCGCAGGAGCACAAGGGCTCTGTATTCCCTCTGGCCATGATACACGACACACTACTTCATGGAGGAGTAACTCCGTGCGTTTAGGGCGTGGGTGTGTGTGTGTGTGTGGGTTTTGTGGAAGTTGAGAGTTCTGACACGAGGAAATGTAGTCATAATGGTTTGAGTATCTGTTACCACACGCAGACTAGCATTTCCTCTTGTTTTCTCGACTAATTCGCGCGGTAAAAATAGCTTCTGTAAACTACTTAACATGCGTTAGCCCTATATTAAAGCTACATTCACTTTCCCTCGTAAACATTCCCAAAGCCAGGTGAAATTCCATTGAAATTCATAGTATAAAAAGTCCTATCAGTGAAGAGTGGTACATTTGGAAGTGCACTATTGGGGTTAGGTTTTCTGTTAAGTAAAAAGCTGTTTTAGCATGTATGCCAATGGGTAGGCTGCAGTGATACTTTAATATCATGCACCTAGCTTAGCTATAACACAAGTTCGCTGCTTTATTAGCCACAAGTACCACACACAAGTGCTCTGTGATTAGGTGAGCGCTTGTATTAGGGCTTACGTTATGCCTTCCCCATGAGCCATACAGATATTTCTCAACTTATCATGCCGATAACATCACCACTGTATTTTTGTTTTCATCCGCATAACAAGTTTTTAGCTGGATAAAATGTGTTAGTTACTCACTTTGCATCGGAGGTCGGAGTTGAATGGTTCTTTGCCGGTCACAGTGTACTCCAATGGTTCCTTCGAAAACAAAACGTATCTGTTCTGTTATTCTCCACTTTGGAAACCGCGTTGTTCCTTTAAACCTACTTAACTCATCCCCGCTTACTATGTGCTGAAGACAACCTTTCAAAAATGTTACGCCTCAGCCGTGCCACTCTCCGAGACAGATAAAGTGTTCTGTGAAGGCGCTGACTTGGAAACGGTTTGTTGATATAGAAATTACGTTAAAGGGTGGATGTGAAAACACAAAACTGTTCTGGGATCTGAGCCGTACAGGGCTTTTACCAGAGAGTCCGCCCAATCTGTTCGGTCATTGGTGAGTTTTCTATTAAGGCGTGGTAGAGGATCCACTTCTGTATTTTCATTGGCTCGTTGTATTGTCAATCATCAGCTAACGCCTCCGTTGTAAATGCGCTTCAACACCGACAGGATTACAGTGAACAATCGCACTGTCAAGTGTACAGCATAAGAGAAATATTTCTTATCAATGTATAGACATATATCAATATTATTAAGAAGCTACATTTTAGAAAAATAAAATAAGTTTTGAATTTGAATTTTGAACTGATAATATATGTAACTTTCCTTAATTATTAAAATCATTACATATAGGCAATTCATTTGCATCATCAATTTAAACTGGGTTGAATTCTTTATGTTCTATTAATATTAGCACTGCACATATGTTGGAGGTTCTATTGAGCTTAGCCTTCTTAATATCTGCACAACCCTTGTAAAATCACTAACATCTACAAATAATGTAATCAATGTTTTGCATTGGGTTTTTGATGCTGCCATGTAGTTCTAGGAAAAACAATATTCTAGTTAGATGTATAATTAAATTAACTTAAACTTGACAAAACACTGTTTTGATAAATGGTATCTTATTTAGCAGTGGTAAGCATCACATGGGTGAGTTTTGTTAAACTGTTTGATAGCTCCCCCTACAGGCCATCTTAAGATACACTGCAATTGCAACAAGTAGTCAGTCAAACAACAGAAAAGGCACATGTAAAGAATGTGAGTCGATTCTTTTACAAAAAAATAATTGAAAAATAAATTAAATGTGTCTTCAAACAGCTGAGTTAGACAAGTGTATCTTCAGTCACTTTTAGTGTGTGTGTGACCCTACTGACCACTGAACAAGGACACTGCTGTAGATTAACCTCCTACATTCCCCTCTAATATTTGCATAACATTAAATATCAGCAAAATATTTTGTTTACATATCAGATTTTATATTTAAACACATTATCTTGATTTCGTTTTTTAAAAATGTATCTGATAGGCTAATATTGATCTACTTAGGTGTACTCTATATTTTGTATTTGTCAAGTAATTAAATGAGGAACCGAGCATTTCACAGCAATATGTGATGAATAAAAACTTGGAACAAATCCTTACACATTTTTTTTTTTTAATTCAGCAAACAAATTAGTGGACACCTGATGAATTAAAAATATCAAAAAGGAATTTGCATCAAACACATGAATACATATAAAAGGGTGCGTGTGTTTCCATCTGCCTGTGTGTGAACAAGTTCCAGAAATGGGCAAACAATAGCAGTGCACCCTTTTGTGCCCCGCTTTTCCCAACATTAAAGTGTGTTGTGTGCCAAAACGCTGAGCCACCGCTTCTTTTGTCCACAATATGATGTGGGTTATATTGTCTGGGAACAATGGAGCCCAGCAGCCCTCTTCTGACAGATAGGCTTCTCACTCTGAAACATCAATTCAACCTAGCCACAAAAATGTGAAGAGACTACTCAGCATGCACACAATGCTTCATTTCATCTGCCTAATTATAGACTTTGCTTTCCAACATACTTATTTGTAATACTTTTGAATGATTTATATATTTTATGACACATGTTTTTATAATATTTGCACATTTTCCCTCTGCAATAGTCTCACCAGTGTTTAATGCCCCAGGGTATGTGCAGATGTTTAGGATGGCCTGTTGGTCTATGGATAAACTGTGTAGGGATTATGCTGATCTCTTGCTCCTTGCTTTGTTACCATAAAACCACTAGATGTCAGGAGAGAACAAATCATTGCCTGCTGTAGGTCTTTAATGCTCTAAATACATTTGATCCACAGCTTTTGTAGGAAATGGGCAAACTGGGTTATTTATTCTAAACAGTTGTAAATGCAGTTGTGGGTACAAAATGACAATCCATCCAGCAAAAATAAAAAGGTATACGAGTTTTAGCGGACTGCCCCACAACAACTAGTGTGTGTCCCGGATGTTGCCATCGGAAGGGGGAGGATATGGGTTGCAGTCAAGTTGCCAGGTCTGTACAAAACCCAATGTTGTCAATCTATTTAATTGATATTCCATAACTGCTCGATTTGCTTGAACATTAATGGAATAAGTCATAATCCTTACACTTGAGACTGATAGGAGTCTTACTCTCTATTCCTCCATTTGTTTTGTTACACTGTTACAGTGTTTATTAAGCTTTTGTGCTAATATTGTAGTAACATTAATAGTTATAAGTGAGTGAAATTAAATACGTGTTCATGTATAAACCAACAGGAAAACACCCCCCATATTATTTACTTGGCATTACATGGTTACTTGACACTTTTCCTAGGTATTATTGCTTTATAAAGGGGTTATCCCACTGGTTAGTGTACAATATCTGGCAACCCAGCGCGCAGCTCTACTGCTACGTTTTGTGGGCAGATAGAGATACGGCTGTGTCTGAGTGGGAGATGGACTGAGTGAGGGCGCTCTTTCGACCAGTGCTGCTGATAGCATTGAAATACACACAAGCTAGGTTGAAATTATTGACAATTTTAGATCTCCGAATCAACAAGAAGAATAGAGTACCGTTATCAATCTTTCACATCCCACTCCATACACACTAACACGGCATTGATGGTAATGTATGCAAGGAAACAACCGAGACTCGGCGATGGGTAAACATCCTTTTAACGTTACTTATTCTGATTTTCCTTTAACTCGTAGCTACGCTTTTACAATCCGCCATTTTTACTGAAACCAAAATAAGTGCATAGCAACTTAGACGTTCAGCTGTTGCTGCTCTTAGAACTATTTATATTATTTGACATTTAAAGCGTTATATTCACAACTGTCTTTCTTTTTATTTGCAGGTGCGACCGAAGAGATACTCAGCCCTATCAGGTACTTGTTAGCTTGTTTAGCCTGTTAGCTTGCTAGCAGCAAATAAGATTAAAATGGACACTCTAGTTCAGGCTTCTGGAAAGCACAACAGGCCGCAGTCAGTGCGGAAAATAACGTGAAAAGTGACATATTGTGTTCGAAATTACGGTCTAAACGCTGCAAATACGTTCAGACGTGGTTATTACCAGGCAACGACAACATAGTCTGGATGTTTCGTCGAATTCAGCTGTTTTTGAAAAGGTACAGGCGAGTTTAGTTGCAGCTCAAAGCTAATGATAGCCTGTTACAGTTAGCTTGGTTGCTAGTCAGTCCGATTAGGGCCTGACCGCAATCTGTCATTTTAAGGATATAGCTAGCTAAGCTTCCGAAACATTAAAGGGGCTCCTAATGAATACTGCAAAACCACGTATAAACCACTACATTCAAAATATAGTTTATAACTAATGACGAAGGTGAATACTAGGTTGTCTTATAAAACCTTCTGTTTACTTCCTTAATCCGAAAAATAAATGTCATTATACATAAGTGCATTGTTACTAAGTGAGCATTCACTATAGTTGATATTGTGACATTGACGCGACATATATTAATCTTCTACTTTGAAACCATACATAAATAGCTGTTTGAATCAAGATTAGCACCCCTAACCAATTACTAAAATATTCATAGCAAGTTTGTTTTTCACTTTGGTACATTGAACAGCCCAACAAGGGGTGACACTGGTTTGAGAGACATTGTGATGATGATACAAGGAGGTAATCAGTCTTCGTACAAAATATTGGATTGTTGTGAGGTGTTTGATTTGTGTTTACAGGCTCTCAAATACTCGTCCAAGAGCCATCCAGGAGGGGACCACCGCCATGAAAAGATGCGAGACTCCTCAGATGTCACTCCTCCCTGCAAAATGCTCAGGAGGTCTGACAGCCCTGAAAACAAACACATCGACAGCACAGGGCACAGCAGAGCAAAGGCTGTCCATACACACCGGGCCAGAGACAGGGATGGAGGTGAGAGAGTGGTTATTGAGACTATAATGGGTTTAGATTCAAAACAAACTGCACTACGCCTCTTCAACACTGCAGCTGTATACTTCATTCCTGTTACCCTCAGATATAAATACAGCCAAGTAGTAAAGTAGTAGTTATTTCAGAGGCTGAAGTTACTTAGATGCACTGAGGAAATTTGGTAGCAACCTAGCAAATATCTATAACAAAAATATCTTAATTTCAACCAGTTGAGTAAATGTCAGTTGTCGGCAGTTAATTTCTATAACTGAAACCACAAAAATAGATGTTGGTTGATGTGTTTACATTCTAATGCAGTGTAGTGAAGTGGAATATGGTTGTATTCATTTGAATTTTTTCAGAAGTACAACATTTTTAATTGACTGGATTTCTTTTAAGGATTGTGGAAAAAGCTGAAAGGCAGTTTTATCCATCTATGTGGTATATGTGATGTGGGGCTGATTCTAGTTTATTATGGTGGTATTGTTCTGAGTTTCAAAACATTTGATTTGTGTAGCCTGTTTTTCAAATTTGTATTGTCATAACATATGCGTAAGACAAATCATGAACTGCAGTAGCCACTGCTGTGTGTACAACATCCGTCTAAAGACAAGCGGCTACAAAACTAATAAGGATGTATAGTATTTTGCGGTTCAATGGTTGATGGAGATGTTGTGGGTTACTTTGTAGATCAAGATGAAAATATGACCCATAACAACACACAGACAGTTACAGGAATGTGTGTACAATGTGCATAAACCCAGTGTTGCTTTTTATTCTGAGATATATAAGATTGGATATTGTCTATGCTTTAGATAATGACATAAAAAAACAAAGTGACAGCTTACATTGATTCAGCAGTCTTCTGCTATAGGAAGCTGCCTATTAGGGCTTTGTTTTTGATCAAACTGGGTTTCTATACAAACGCCAATGTTGTTTTTGGGTATGAGATAAATACTTTAAGATGTACAACAGGTTAAATGACAACAAATGCTGCTCATGTTATTTTCTGGTTCTAGCTATAGCTCTTGAACACTATAAGCTTGTTATTTATAACTCTCATTACTTGCAAATGTTGACAGCCTAACCTGAGAAGTAATAATTACTTACTTTGGATCCTATAGGTTTGGCGAATGATTTCAAATCAGAATCACACATGCCATACAGGCCAAATTACTCATAGTGTAAGATGGCTGAAATGTGCTGATCTGGGGGGAAAACGCTGCTTTTTTTGAGGATTGACAAGTTGACGCTGGAAAGTGGTACAGTGGCGCATATCTTTGTGTGGATACGCATCAAGATACCGCCAGTGTATGGGCTTGAATACAAAAACAATGGATGTGGTACTTTTGACGCCCATCTTGCATTGCCATGTTTGCTGCCCTTCTATTTCCCATTATCCTCTCTGTGCATATTGAAAAGGGATGAATGGAAAAGCTTTTATGAAAGCCAAACCAAGCTCATTAAAGTGTCTGCTGTAATTTCAGCTACAGGTGAGAGTTCTTCATCGGTTATTATCTTCCCTGGAAAAATAGATTGTTAATTGCAGACTGGGTAATGTGTAGTCTTTTAGAAACCATCTCTTGTGATTGGAATAATGTTTTTACTAATGAAAATGGCTAATGTAATCATGGATTCATTATTCTGCAGCAGCTATCGTGATTTCAAATTGGTGTAATTGTGCCATAGTGGGCTGTGAAAGGGGGATTGGAAATGTACCTACAACAAGTCCTGTGTGGTTGATAGCCGGAAGATAATTAAATAGTTGAAATTCAGAACCAACTTTGTCACACAAGTATACCTAATGACTAAATTACTCATATGCTACGGACAGTCTTACTCATTAGTAACTTTGGGATGTTCCCAAAATCCGTTATGCCACAAAGCTATTGGACCAGCATTATTTGATAAAAAATGTTGCAGGACTTCTGAAAGGAGCTTATTGTGGAGGCCCTTTACTTTCTCTTAAATACCTGCATTACCAGGACTAAATTACACAGTCTACATTTGAATATTTAAACTGTCATCTGGTGAGTACGTTACTACGTCAATAAATCAATCACTTGTTGTTAAATACCGGGAATATCGCAGAGGCAAACAAATCTCCTATTGATCCTGTTTAACAAAGATAGCCAATAGTAATGGACTGCATTTATATAGCTCTTTTATTTTTTGCAACCCCTCAAAGCGCTTTTATATATACTAGTCAACACTCGCATGTTAACGCACATTCATACAGATGCAAGGGATGCCATACATTTTGGAAAATGTGGGTTCAAATCAAATGTGGAAAACCTTTAGGTAGCAGGCCCTATGTGTCACTTGTGAAAATGTCAAACTTCACAGGCTGTAGTTTAAAAACAACCACAGCTAATTAAAGGGAATTATCTAACGGATAAATAGAGTATTCCGTCTGTTGTCGGATTATTTTCTCTGCAAGGTGCCCTCTTGTAGACATGATTTGAACAAGCTGTCTTTGAACATATTTTTGAAGTTCAAATACAAAAAGCTTCTGAAATGGAAGGGTCTCTTACTCCTAATGATCCGTTTGATCACACTGACATCATTAATTACACCTGGCTGGAGTCAGTTCTGCATCCACTGTTGTTCATTTGTTGGGGCTTTTGTTTACCTAGATCACTGTGCATTGCAGTGTTTCAATGGAACATACTGCACCGTTTTTTGACAGCTGAAATAGACAGAGTGAAATATTTGTAGAAATATGATATTATAGAATTGAATGGGCCCAAATGATTAACTAAATTGGGAACCTGAATCATATAGAATATACCTGGAAAGACAAATCATGCATGCCTGAGAGCCTGTTACTCATGCACAGGGTTAACACCCTAATATACTTTGTGTTGAGTTGGACCTTGGTGTTGGGAAGAAAAAAAATATAGCATCATACAGAATGGGATGATGCAAATATCAAAGGTCAGTGAAAATGATAGTCTAACATTTTTTTTAGGAACGTGGTAAGGAATCTACACTCAACAAAAATATAAATGCATCACTTTTGTTTTTGCTCCCATTTTTCATGAGATGAACTCAAAGATCTAAAACATTTTCTACATACACAAAATAACCATTTGTCTCAAATATTGTTCACAAATCTGAAAAAATCTGTGACACTGAGCACTTCTCCTTTCCCGAGATAATCCATCCCACCTCACAGGTGTGGCATATCAAGATGCTGATTAGACAGCATGATTATTGCACAGGTGTGCCTTAGGCTCAGTGTCTGGTGTGAGGCTTAGGGTTAGGGTAATGTTGTGAATCGAGTGGCCCATGGTGGTGGTGGGGTTATGGTATGGGCAGGGGTATGTCATGGACGACAAACACAGGCCACTCGATTCACAACATTACCCGT